ATATAACACAACCAATATTGCATTTTATTTGGGGGCTGGAGTTTTTGGATCAACAACCTGGAGACTGGGTATAGTAGGAATTACTCATAAAAACATATAACTGTGATTCACACAAAAGCCACACATCTTAAAGGACCACTCTAGGCACCCAGACCACTTCAGCTTAATGAAGTGGTCTGGGTGCCAGGTCCTTCTAGGGTTAACTCATTTTTTTTATAAACATAGCAGTTTCAGAGAAACTGCTATGTTTATTAATGGGTTAAGCCTTCCCCCTAATCCTCTAGTGGCTGTCTCATTGACAGCCACTAGAGGCGCTTGCGTGCTTCTCACTGTGATTTTTACAGTGAGAGCACGCCAGCGTCCATAGGAAAGCATTGTAAATGCTTTCCTATGCGACGGGCTGAATGCGCGCGCAGCTCTTGCCGCGCGTGCGCATTCAGCCGGCGGGGCGTAACGGAGGCGGAGAGGAGGAGGAGAGCTCTCCGCCCAGCGCTGGAAAAAGGTAAGTTTTTACCCCTTTTCCCCTTCCAGAGCCGGGCGGGAGGGGGTCCCTGAGGGTGGGGGCACCCTCAGGGCACTATAGTGCCAGGAAAACGAGTGTTTTCCTGGCACTATAGTGGTCCTTTAACCTTACATATTTTAAAACATCAATACACACACACACACAGGCACAAGATTGTAATTTAATTGTGATATAAAACACAAATCCACTCTCCCATTTCCACACAGTCCTTATACCATCTTTCCCTTCATCATCCCATTTTTTTTAAATTTCCCCTCCCCCTATGTTCCATCCCTCTTTACTGTCCCCTCCATATTACATTTCCCATTATATATATTCTCCTCTTCTATCTCGCCATTTAATCCACTTTATTCCTACTTATTCCATCTTCCAGTTCTCATTCCTAATTTTCATTCCATTTCTTGCTCCTATTATCACTCTGCTCACCAAGATATTCACCCCCACCCGATTAGGGATCCTTTTTGTTATGTCTTGCTACTATTATAAGGGAGGTGTTAACTGATGAGATAGCCTTATCCTGCTCTTTTGTCACTCTATTTACCCCTCCCATAATAGTATTGGTCAACCTATATGGATCTGGATTTTCTATAGTTGCAATGCAGTCCAATCCCATCATGTCTCTTGCCATAAAAGTCCATTGCTGTACATCTTCTACCTGTTACTACTCCTTCCTAAGGACAACATCATGCTAGTTAAAGGAAAATAAAAACTGCTGGCAGCCATACGCCTGTTACACAATGTTGTTCTAGTTAATGTTTGATTGAAACTCTTGTTATGCATTTGTTTATGGGTTTTTAACATTGCACAAACAACTTTTTCAGTCATCTCTACATCTTTGATTAAGTTCAGACCAAGATTTTCCATAAAGCCCCCTAGTGCAGTCATGGCTAATTTTACCTCTACTCAATCAGCATGATGGAAATTGCATTTCAATAACATCTGGAGGTCTAGCATATTTTTAAAGGTTTAATGGTACTCCCATTAACGCTTTGTCATAGCTTCTCGTGGCTTCTAGAGAACCTACTCAAAAACACTAAGCATGTATAATGAGCAATTATTGTGCACAGTTGTAAAAATATAAAGCTTAGTATTATCTCTATGGGGACTGTTCCAAGGTTAGAACTTTTCTCCATATTTACCCATTATACATAAATCCTATTTCTGCTCAAAAACAATATATTTACATAAAGTAAGGAACTCTATGATACATTATTTTTTTTTTTTAAATATACTGTAACATAAAAAATCAATGAGACACCTAAATACATTTTTCTGCTATATATTTGGTGTTATCTCATACAGTGATAGTGCTACACGCCACTATTCATACTATTTAAACAACTAAAATACTGCATACTTTAAATGGCAAGCACCTCTTAAACGATGCTTAAAGGACCACTATAGTGCCAGGAAAACAAACTCATTTTCCTGGCTCTATAGGGTCTTTAGGTCCCCCCCACCCTCAGGGTCCAATTCCCGCCGGGCTCTAGGGGGAGGAAGGGGTTAAAGGCTTACCTTTCTCCAGTGCCCGGGTCTCTCCTCCCTCTTCTGACATCACTGGCTGAATGCGCATGCGCGGCAAGAGCCACGCGCGCATTCAGTCAGTCCATAGAAAAGCATTCTCATTGCTTTCCTATGGACGTCAGCGTCTTCTCACTGTGATTTTCACAGTGAGAAGCGCGGAAGCGCCTCTAGCGGCTGTCAATGAGACAGCCACTAGAGGCTGGAAAAACCCATATGTAAACATAGCAGTTTCTCTGAAACTGCTATGGCACCCAGACCACTTCATTAAGCTAAAGTGGTCTAGGTGCTTATAGTGGTCCTTTAAATGTTCTTAGGAATGAAGTTTCTCGTTAGTTCTCTAAAATATAGAACTATTTAAACTAATGTTGGTAGGTATGGACTGTGGGGGTTAATGAGTTCATAGTGATAGTCTCCGTTGTTACAGAGATTTAGTGGGAGAATTATGAAAGTGTGTAGTTTTAAAGTGTTCTAAAGTACTAAAATGTAAAACTACCCCTTCACATTTTTTTTGAACCACTTTCTAGAATGTTGAGAACAACTGTTTAGAGTTGGGAGGATTTGGGATTAGGAAAATGTGGGGTTAGCATCTGTCTTCAAGATGCAATGGACTGTAAATCTTAACTTTTTCTATACCCCTCTCACAGAGTCATATTGTAATATACACTATGAGATATGTAATGCCTCCCAACATTTCAAAGAGAGGGCCACTTTCATTTTAGGGCTTTAAATTGGTTGTGGCCCTGGGTGTGGCTGTTTGGAGAAATTTTAGGTGACTTCTTTACAATTTTTGCAACTAAAATGTAATTTAGAAGACGAACAGTGTATCCTATTTACAGAGTCAGTTTTCTAAAAGATGCATTACTTTGTTGTGGAACTTTGTTAAACACTCACACACAAAAAATATGGTGCTCAGAGAAAAGGGGGGACAATAGGATAGAAAAAAGGGACAGAGGGATTTGGGCCCAAAATAGGGACACTGTCTATACTAAATAGGGACACTTGAGAGATATGGATCAAGCTTAAAATATATATGAGTTATATAAAGAACTGAATTAAGGTTGCACATGACTCTAGTCAATATGCCAGCTTGGGCCCCCCTCGTAGAACCCTTGGCTCTGTTCTGTAAGTGTTGTGTCTGGTGGCTGACTGTTGTATGTGTCGGAGAATGAGTGGTGTGTGTGTTTGTTGTAGCTGAGTCTTGTGTGTGGAGGAGGCTGACAGCTGTATGTTCTGTATTTTCTGAGTGTGCATGTTTGTGCAAGTTTAGCCCAGTTTTTGTTATATATGTCTGCAACATATGCAGTTTATTTCCCACTGTGCTGCTGATGAGACTTAAATGAAGACAAAGAGCTCTTATTTTTCTAGGTAAATGTTTGAAAAGTTAAGACCAATAAAATTATGATTGATAAATAATGCAGCTCGCCCCTCTGTGTCTGTACTTTGAACCGCTGGACCAAGCATTTCACTAGATACAGTGACGATAGTTTAGGAGTGACTGGATACCAGGATAAATCATGTGCTTTCATAAATTAACTAAAAACTAGACTCCATGTTAAATAAAATCTGTGAATTTATCAGATCAACAAAGATCATTTGTTCTAAAGGAGGCAATATGTGACCTCACTATGAACTGAGCGAATAAGTCATTTAATCAGAAAACTCCTTAAGGCAATGGAATCTGTGATTTTATATGGATGTCCTTCTCATGTGTTATCTATTTCAGTATTGCTTTTCCAAAGAAATGAAATAAAAATAAAAAAAATAAAAAAAAATCCCAGTCAGCAGAAAGGCAACTTTACCAGATCTTCAAGAGTCAGGTTCAGAATACAGAAAAGGACTGGAATGAATATAAAATCAAGAGGATTTTAAATTTGAAATCCGACAGGATATAAATCCAGATTGGCACAACAGTGGGGATTTAGAGAGGATCTGTCACTTCCTAGGACTTTAAAGAGTATGTTTACTAATCCATACACTTAACAAATATGTACTTGTGAGGTGTACAAAATACAACTAAATACAGAAATCCCCACATCTTTATTCTGCAAATGAGCGTCTCCATTTTAGAATACTTGTACACAAACCCACTGTAGCTGCAACAAACAAATCAAATTCCTGTTCATATCTGCCCAGATCATAATCAATCTGTCAAACATTTACCTGTGAAGTCTTATAAGACTCCAGAGGATGGTTCGATTCGTTGGGGCATAGATTAACGAAAATTTGATTAACTTGCCGAAAGTAATAGGTGATTTAAAATGTTTTATGCCATGGTGTAATTTCCTGAGAAGTGACCGTTCCTATTTAACCCCCCTTAAGGGCTAAACTTCTGGAATAAAAGGGAATCATGACATGTCATGTGTCCTTAACGGGTTAAGAATGTCTTCATGACAAATATAATGGTTTGCACAAAGCTATTGCATAATAGAAAAATTATGTTTGTATTAGGTTAAAGGGACACTCCAAACCCCTAATGCACTTTAACTTGTTGAAATGCTTTTGTGTGAATGTGTCCTCTTTTTTTTACATTTTACCCAAAAAAAAATAATTATTTTAAGTAATTTTTTTTTAGATGTTCATAAAGTTTTGACAGCATAGACTGTAATGTTTTTTTTATTAACAACCCCCGGATTTACACTTTTTTACATACATATTTAACACCTTAAGGACACATGACGTGTGACATGTCATGATTCCATTTTATTCCAGAAGTTTGGTCCTTAAGGGGTTAAATCAAGGCCTTCATTTTTTCCTTCTAATGTAATGAGTGCCCAGTGAGTGCGTTTATGTAAGCAGTTTTAGCAGATTTTGAAAAAAAAGATTACAATTTTAAATCCTGAACAAAATCTAACAATACAGGAATGGAGAGTTCTTAAGGAATTAATGGAGAATAAAGATAGTTATCATGAATATGATATTTTATGAAACTGAAGGATTGGTACAGCACATATGTTTATATTCGAGGCATAGCAACCAGCACTGTATCCCCTATTCGAGCTGTGGTATCAACCTTGGGGACTGTAAACAAGGTCTCAAATACCTGATCGATTTTCCTGACCGGAATGGGTGTGGATAGTGCTGATGTCCAAATGGCGCCTTCATCGTGTGTGTGTGTCTTGGTGGCAGAGATGATCTGAGTTATATAACAGTGTTTTATTAACCTTGAACTTTGGGTAACTAAGAACGTGTTAACTTCATGCAGGTAGGCCTCCATTTCATGTGGATACCTTGTGTCTACCCGAATCCATGGGTTGGATAATTTGGTCAATATGTCCCTACTGGGCACAGTGGGAGGATATGGTATGATGGATGGGTGGGAGGTAGGAAGGTGAGGAACCAGGAAGGATGTGGTTAGTCCCTGTTCTCTCATCCCTTCATTTTCCTTAGGGGTGTGGTCGCATATAGTTAATCCAAAATTGCCAGATTTGTTTGTCTGTCAGCAACACCCATGGAGGACCATCTCAACTCCTCAAGCATTCGAAAGTAGTCTACTCTCTATCAGTGTGGTTTGGTTTTTTTTTGTCTGGACTAGATGGTGATCTCCATAGGTTTGTTATGACAAGCTTGCTCGTTGAGAAGATAAAGAAGAGTATTGAGTTTTTATAAAGCTTTGGGCTGCCCTACAGCTTTTGGAAGAGGTTCCCTTTTGTGTCACAGGACAAGAACAAGTTATACAACAACCTTGGTAGTTACTAGAATGTGTTGCAGGGATGGCAGGATGGGTCCATAGGGTACACAATAGAAGAGCCTTTGGCCGAGGTGGACGAGTTGGGCAAAGTGTGATAAAATGCCCTCTTTCTCCACAAGAGAAACAAAGTCCGCTGCTTCTCCTACGGTCTCTTTCCTCAAAAGATAACCGGGTGTGGATGACACCGATCTCCTTAGGTTCCTCTTTGTCCATTGGAGTCTCCCTTGGAACCGGATAATAAAGAGGCAACAAGAAGGTGTGGCGTTGGTACCGGGTCTCTCTGTTTATGGGAACCTGGGATCTTCTGGGACATAGAGCAGGCTTTGTCAGTGGTCTTGCACTGCAAGTCCATTGCAGTCATGAAAGACCCTCAGCTGTCGAGGACAGGACTCTTAGCCAGCAACATCTGGTGTGCCCATGTCTTGATCCATCCAGACAGCAGGTTGATAGCCGCATGGACCATGATGAAGTTACTGGCATATGTCTGAGGCTTTAAGGGAAATACAATTTCACAATCCACCTTAAAGCACTGGAAGGATGCATGGCTACCATCGAATCTCTCCAGCATAACAATAAACTGCTCAGAATAAGCAAGTTTTGAGGCTGGGCGTACTGTGCCTTTAAGAAATTGAACTTCTCGCTGCAGCTCCAAAACTGTCTGAGCCAGGCTGGATACTTGCTGGGTAAGCAGTTTGCACATCTCTTGGGACTCCATGATGGTCAGTTCTTTGTCAAGGTCTTGCTTGAGGTGGGAGTCTGGTAGGCAGAGATTAGTGCTCACCTTAGCAGATAAACACAATCCAAGGTGATAAGGTTAGAAACCACCAGGACAGTGCATCTGTGCATGGAGGTTGTGCATAAAAGGTGCTCCAATTCACAGTACAGACAAGGACACAAGCAGAAGGATTGTCGAGGATAAGCCAAAGTCAGAGGATGACAGAGGTCAGGATAAACAAGGAGAAAAGCCAAGGTCAGGAGCCAGGATTAATCTGGAGAACAAGTATCAGGAGACAAAACAGGAACAACTCACGATTACCAGAATCAAAGAACTGATGCGGTTCCCAGGGCAAGGCAGCGTTTAAATACCTAGTTGATTATTGATCTGACTCAGGTGAAGCACAGGTATCAGCCACAGATGGAGTCCAGCCCCCTAGTGCTGCAGACAAAGCCAGGAATAACAAAAATATAGAACATATTCAAAAGAACAGAATCTGCTGTGGCTTAGAGGCAGTATAGTAGGCTCAGGACCCAGGTTCAAATCCCCTGTTGGGCACTTCTGGGGCGACCACGTCTGGCCGTCATGGTGAGAACCATGACAGGACCTCCCCGTTAAGAACGCCCCCTGGGTGTGAACAGGTTCTTTAGAGTGACCATACACCACTTCGTCAGTGTCACTATCACTAAGATAGTCCTAGTAATTGAAGTCCCCAGAGCAGAGTCTTGAATGGCATGGGACTCCATAGTACCAGCTTCTGGTACTGCTGGAGATAGGTCAAGGTCTTCGTAAGTACTTCTATTACCTTAGCAGGAGTGGAGTTTGTGGCTTGCAACCACGTCTGGATGTCACAGTGAGAACCGTGACAGGTGCATTGATTGGTAGTATAAGAGTGGATTTGGTAAGACTGCTCTCCCTAGTTCGCGTGGTCGTGTGAGGATATGGAAGGCTATTCTGGGCCTGCCGTGGGCCTATACAAATTTTGTAAAGAGAGACTTCATTTGCGTGAAGAAATGTTTTGGGGGTGGCTTTTCATACAGTGTATAGGAGATAGAGAATCATGGGAAGGATGTTCATTGTTATTATGTTAACTTTGCCCAGCCCTCTAAAGTGAGGCTTATTGCATCCTGTTAAGTCCCTCGAGATCTCCTCGAACAATGGGATAAAGTATGTTGATAGAGGTCAGGTCAGGGATATGTCTAGACAATTTGATTCCCAGGTACGTGATGGTGTGGGTAGCCCATTTGAATTGGTAGTTTTAAGGGATTTTACTATGTGATTGGGGTGTTTAAATTCAGGATTTGTCTGCATTTATTTTGAAGTTGGACAGAGAACTGTACCGATCCAGCTCCTTCATGATTAGAGGTAGAGATTTGTGTGGCTTTCTCTGTGTAAAGTGAAAGTCGTCTGTGAATGCCGACACCTTGTATGTATGCTCTTTAAGTTGAAGTCCTAGGATTAGGGGGTTAGACCTTACTGCTTGGAGTAGCGGTTTCAGGGTTAGAATATAGAGGATCGGGGACAGAGGACACCCATGACGTGGGCCAATATGGATGAAGGACTGAGAAAGTTGGCCATTTATTTTAAGTTTGGCCGACAGTCTGGAGTAACTAGCCCCAATCCATGTCAACATTTTCCTCTCAAAACCCAGGGTCTTCAGCACTGCCCCAAGGAAGTTCCAGTCCACCCTTTCAAAAGCCTTCTCGGCATCAATTGCCAACAGGATGGACGGGTACATCGTCCGCTGTGTTGAGTGTGACATTAGATTCATTGAAGTTGGCTGTCAGCAAGAAGGGGAAGCCCCAGCGGTTTTTAATGTTTCTAGCTTGGAGTGCAGCTGTGATGGGATGGAGGGCCCTCCGTCCTTGAAGAGTAGTCCTGGACAAGTCTTAAAAGATCTGTATGTGGCTGTTTTCTGTCCCAAGGATTGGAGCTGTGCGTGCTTTCCTAATTATTTCCTCTTTTAGCTGAAAGTAATGCACTCAACTTAAATTCCTAAGCATTGTGTGTATCTCCACATCTCTGCCACATGTGGACGGTTCTAAAGGTGTTGGGCTCTGAGACAGAAAGTGGCATTGCCAAGATGACGCCTGTGCGTTGTCTTCATTCTCCAGCACTAGAAGTTTTATTTTGTCTCGTATATATTTTTCCAATTCTCTGATTTTCTTTTTTGGATTTTTTTTTTTTTTTTGGGGGATTTTTTTTTTTTGCTAGGAGTTGCATCTTGGGGTTCTTGTGAGGCTGTGGTCCATTTTGTGTTGCCCATTTTCTCGTATGGAAGGCATGAAAAGCTGCTTTCAGTGGCGGCCTGCCGGGAGCTCCAGCATCATGGCTGCTCACATAAACAGTCAGGCCACACTCCCTTCTGGTTCTCTATTCTATGTCTGGTTTTCTTTATGCTGTTTTTTCTGGGTTCATTCCATTCCTGGAATTCCCAGTCTCCTGGATTCCTTTAAATGTTTGGTTGTTTTTGTTGCCACACCCGTTCCTTTGCCATTTATCCATTTTGTTTCAGTGTGTTCCCTAATAGCAGTGGTCTCTTTCTTCTTAGTAGGTTTGCAGAATATGAAGCACCTGTGATCCGCAATAGCTGCATCAGGGCCCTGGTATGTGGCCGCACAAACCTTGGTGCTAAACAGGGGGCTTGTGGTTACCGTGCACTAGACCCTGATAGTCCTAGTCCACACTGTGACTCCTACCAACATCAGGCTTCAGACTACCATCCCCGTGACATGCACATATACATGTGCTGGAGAAGTTCTGATGTCATGATGTATTTGTGTGTCGTCTAAATGACTTGTGGACAGTGAGATTAGTGGTTCACTTTGGGATCTTAGACTAGGAGGCTACAGGATTTCATCCAGCTCCCGAGGAAGTCTGTACTATTTGTACAGAAAAGAAGTAGAGCTTGATTCCGGTTGGTCTTATTGATACCTCAGTGGTTCAAAAAAAGAGAAGCCAGATAACCCCAGTAATCAGTAACTTATCTTCAAGACCTTCAATGGAAGATTCGAAAGCACCCATCACCCTTTTCCCCAACATGCTTGCCCATGAAAAAGTTGTGGATCTTGTGGATCAATCTCTGGAAGACATTATTATGGTCCTTCATCTTTTCTCTTTTCTTCCCTAGAAAGAGTTGTGAACAGACTCATTCATATTTCCAACAGAAGGGCATCATTAACAACTTCTGGGTACTACAGGCAGTGTAGGGTTACTGCATAGAATTACTAGAAATATTGCCTGGTCCAGCCTTCAGATCCTTACTCCGGGTATTCTGAGCAACATATATTTGATTGCAAAGAAAGGAAGTGGCATACACCTTATAATCAATCTATATCCACTGAACATTTTTGTGGCTTACCTTTACTTCAAGATGGAGGTTATCTATTACCTTTGGGATCTACTTCTTTAAAGATGCTTATCTCACAGTCCCTGTAACCAAGGCTCACCAGAATTTCCTCCAGGTTTTTTCACATGCCTATTCTTTGGTCAGTCATTATTCTCATGGTGTTTCACCAAGCTTCTGAAGCTGGTGGTAGCATTCCTACACAACAGGGGAGTTCGTCTAATCATTTACTTGGATGATTTACTCATCATTTCCACAGGTCTTCAAGCTCTTTTTTGGAAATTGACTCTGCTCTAAAATCAAAAATGTATTTTATTTATTAATCTCAGATATTTATTTATGCCAAATGTTATTTTTTACCTTTTCTCTTTAAGCTTGACCTCCCCTTCCTTATCAACGCCTTATTTGAATGAGGTCAGCCTCATGACTCTGTTCCTTAGTTTTTTTTTTTTTTTCTTTGTACCTTTTGATTATCATGGACGCCATACTCAAGTTTTGTTTGACCATGGATGTTCTTTTTGTAGAGTTATGTTTCCACAGTGGTGTTTTTTCGCATCATCAGAGAAAGTTGTTTGAGGTTGGGTGACTGATTATGGATGGGACTAACTAATTAGTTAATAT